ATCCACTTGAACATGACGCTGCTTTTTTCGAAGTTTCTCAAGAACCATTCGAGCCACAGAATTCGTTTTGGCATCGTTGGATAGAGAATTGAATGACCCCCCCACCCTGGATCCGCTCTTGGCTATATACGTGGCATGTGTAGGTGCTGCCGCGCCCAGTGGCGCAGCAACTAATGTTGGGCGAAATGGTGCAGCCCGAGCAGTTCGAATGCGTGACGATCTACTTTAGCGACATTGTGGGGTTTACCAGCTTGTGCGCCAACAGCACGCCAATGCAGGTAGAGTCTGCCTCCAGCCTATTGGCAGTGACGTCATTACTATAGTAATTAGTTCTGTCCATCATCAGACCAAAACGCAATCAAACTTTCACTGCCAATAGACTTGTGACGCGCTTCCCCCAAGCAGATCTTTGGCTAGAACCAAGCAGTTGACATTTTTCCAGGTGGTCGACTTTCTCAATGAGCTCTACAGCACTTTTGACAGGATCATTGGCTTCTACGACGTTTACAAGGTATGAAAATGCCATTTAAAACAGGTCACACTATTTTGTGTTAAAAAAAAATCAGGTTGAAACCATAGGAGACGCTTATATGGTGGTCTCAGGCCTTCCAGAGCGAAACGGTGACAGCCATACGAGGGAAATTGGCTTGATGGCTCTGGCCATCTTGGATGCAGTGCGCAGCTTTACCATTGCGCATCAGCCCGACCGCGTCCTGCAGCTTAGAATAGGTGAAAATCTTGCCTCAAACAGAAATTAATCGGGACTAAGTTGGCCTGGCACTTTCAGGCATTCATTCCGGCCCGGTTTGCGCAGGAGTGGTGGGGCAAAAAATGCCCCACTACTGCCTATTTGGTGACGCTGTCAACACCGCCAGTCGCATGGAAAGCACCGGACAACGTAAGCGACACGCCCATTTTGAAGGCGGATCAGACACTACTTGTCACTTGTCAAACTGAGCGTTTAGACCAAAATGACGTACTTGTTGTCACTCGTGCTCACTTCACTATAGTGCCTGGACCGCCCTTGAGAATCCTCAAAAAATGAAAATTCGCAATTCGAATTGAAAATATTAAAATCTCTATTTTGACTCTCCGTGCAAACATGTTCCAGTAATACCATAAGTGCACGTTTGCCTTTCTTGAAGTAACTATTGCCGATCACTTCAATTTGCCGGCAGTGTTTTTCGGCTGGCGTCGATCTGAAGCTTTGCATGCAACACGCGTCATCAAACGTCACTTGGCTTACGAAATATACACTGCACGGAAATTGAAGTGGGTCAACATTACGCGTTTTGTGGTCCGTTTTACGTTAAGGCCTACAGTCACTGACTAAGGGCCATTGCAGCCTTGAAGATCCACGTGAGCGAAGCAGCCAAGCAGATCTTCGATAAGTTCGGCACGTTCAACCTGGAGCTGAGGGGCGAGGTGGAACTGAAGGGCAAAGGTTTTGTGACTACCTACTGGCTGCTGGGGTGCTCAGATTCTGATCCCCGGCCTCCCACTCCACGCGTCCCCAGCACTATTGAGCTGGACAGCAACAACCCCTACCCTTTGGTCTTCATGGGGTAAACCCTTGGTTATTCCAGCCAACCGTATGAATTAATCATGTAGGGTAGTTTGGGTGTTATGCATGTTTCAAAACTATATTTCCAAGCGAATAAACGATTTATTTACGTATTAAATCGGCCAATTTTCCTGCGAACAGCCCGAAAAAGGTCGTGGTTGGAAGAAAACAGAGAAACTGGTGGAGATATTAGATAGATTTATCATAATATTAAATACATTATCCCTGCCGCAGTCGCGCACCAGAAAACACTCACAACCGTTACGCAAAAGTAGAGATACATTCCCTAAGTCTTACTATTAAGGGCCCTAACCTAGAGAAGTTGAAAGTAAAGCTGCCTCACATCCACATCAAACAGTCAATAATATAAAAAAAAACTATTGAGTCCAGTTACTGTACAACAGCAAGCCACACTTGACAGACACCTTGTATGTACATGCAGAGGGGGGATATGTGCGCAATTCCCTATAAATTATTGCACGGAATTTTCACTTAAACGGTACAGAAGGTCATTATTCCCTTAACACAACCAAACTTATCAACTACAACTATGGAGTTACAGGAATGTTCTAAGAAACCACTCAGGACTTTTTCCCATCAGCCACTTCGACGCTCTCTAGAGTTCGACTTTTTGCTTCTGTGGGGTCGCTTTAGGCTGTTCCTTCACTGGCGCAGCCTGAAACCATCCAGAATCGTCTCAAAGTCAAGCTTTTCTTATAGAAGGCGGAACCAGTTGCTCACATTCAAAACCCTCATCAATTACCTGTTTTCGTTGTTGCTGCTTCTCTGGGGGCGGAGTTTGCGTTTGCTGTTTCACTGGGGGCGGAGTTTGCGCCTGCTGCTTGACTGGGGGCGGAGCTTGTGTTTGCTGTTTTACCGGTGGAGGAGTTTTCGCCTCTTGTTTGACGGGAGGAGATTGCGTTGGCTGTTTCGCCTGCTGCTTTACGGGAGGGGGAGTTTGCGTTTGCTGTTTTACCTGAGGAGGAGTTTGCTTGGTGGTAGGCGTTGTTGGTGGTTTGGTGGGAGGTGGAGTGGTTGTTGCGGGTTTTCTAGTAGTGGGAGCAGCAGTTGTAGCCTTCGGAGTGGTGGTGGTGGGCTTTGGGGTCGTAGTGGTGGGTTTGGGAGTGGTTGTAGTAGGTTTTGGAGTGGTGGTGGTGGTGGGCTTTGGAGTGGTGGTAGTGGGTTTTGTGGTGGTTGTAGTCGGTTTAGCGCTTTCAACGGTGGGGGAGCGTTTGGGGCGTTTCTCCTGCGAAAAAACAACAAGAAAGTCCTTTACCGCTCCCCAGTACTGTATGCGTTACCTTTTTCAGATCTTCCCAGCCCAGTTTCGCCAAAGGAATGCGCCCAATGTAGTCGTTGAATGGCGAGCCCAAATACAGGGTGTCCCCAAGCACATGCATTTCCGAAATACTCTCAATTTTGCCATTAAGATTGTGGACGCTGTCGGTAATCTGACCGTCGCGGTTCACTCGCAAAAGCGTCACTCTGGATGTCGCAAGCAGCTTGGGGGTGGAGCTGAAGTGCCCAATCTGCAAGCAATATGCATTAACTGGATTCATTTCGATCTAATCATTCGTTTACAGTATGAACGGCATTCAGGCAAACATCATTCGGGTAGTACTGGTCGATTTTCCGCAGCACATACTGGCTGATGCCCATGAAGCGAGCAGCGGCCTTTCTGAGCTTAGGAAAAGGACCGATCGACTGGATCAGAATGGGGTAGTCGGCGTCCCGGCCCAAAACCAACGGCACTAAGAAGCCGCCCATTCCATCGCTCTTCAAGTTATCTGGTAGCCCCGGCAGCCCGTCGAGGAAAATGCTGCTGCCTTAAATATCCCTAAGAATTTAGCTGCTGCTGGTGTCAGCCAAGGCGCAGTACCTGTCTTGGGGCCGTTAATGTACACTCGATGGATTCGGCTTCGGCCAGTCTCAGCCACAATTGCAAACGTTTCGTCTTCGGACAGCGCCACCCCATTAGCGAAGAGAAGGTTGTCGAGCAGCACGCGGTTTTCCTTCGTTTTGGCATTGTAGTGAACCAGTCTGAAAGAAAATGTTGCAGAGCGCTGGAAAGTTGCCCGGTTACTGATTACCTTCCAGTTGGGTCAGCTAGAAGAGTGAACAGGCCATCATCCAGAGTGAAATCGGTGCTGGAGTCCGTCCAGAAGACATCCCCATTTTTTGCCACGGCCAGGCTGTTGAATATCTTGGGGCGTCGTCCTTCAATCTCCACCTGCGGACCGACGAGCCGCTCCTTTTTTCCTAGAATGGACATACCGCCATAAAAACCGCCGTTTCTCTGTCCAGGCTTCCCACTACCTGACTGGACGTTAACGCGAAAGATTCCATAGTAGGCGTCAATGGCATACAGTTGGTCTTTCTGGTCAAACTGCAGGCCCAATGGGCGCCCACAAATCCTCTCCTCATAGGAGCCTTTGCAGGGCTTCCCGAACTTTACAACAGGCGTTATATGTTCGCCTATAAACCAGACAATGGTGAGCGGTTTGGAAACGGCGGAGTCTCACCAGTTACCCGTTAGCTTCACAATGTCGCCGTTATACAGGGAAGTATACAGGGAATTGTCCAAATCGGCAAACGCTTCGGGACCCACAAAGTCCCCTTTGTGCCAAATTTCCACAGCATCTAGCCGATCGTTCAACGACAACTTGCCGGTAAAGGGCTGAGCAGGTGACACACTGAAAAACAAATTAGCGAGTGGATGGAATTTTTCGAAGCCCTTATCATGAAAAAGTGTGACCTCCAGGCCATAAACAAGTGGCCGCTTATCTGGCTCACAGTGTTTATTGAAACGAAAAGTCCATAATCATTAAACCATGTTTGATTAGGCCGACTAATGGGGGCCAAAGTCTACGCTGACTGGACATTGCGGGCATCAACGTGGCACCTGGAACTCACCTGTAGGGCTGCGAAAACTGGGCGTAAGGCGGCAAATTCGGTATCAGCACCAATAGAGCGGCGACCACAAACAATTCGAAAACTCTTCGCAAAATAAACTTGAAAATCCCGGCAACACCCATGGTGGCCGCTGGATAATGGGGGCAAAATTGAGAAAATTGGGGCTGTAATGCAACCGTGTGCACTGCTGATGAGTTGGAGCTGGAAAATGAGGTTCCGTTATAACCGGGTACCGCTTACAAGTCAAAAAACACGTAAACAATTTACATTCACCGAAAAACTGTTTGGTGACAAGTGCTTGTAGGGAACAGCTGTTTGTCAGTGTCAAGGTGTCAAGCCTGCTGTTTTTTGGCTTCTCTTTTCAAGCTGCGCCTCTAGACAAAGACAGGCACAGTTAACAGGACCTCTGATATTTTTGCGCGAATTTAAAAATTCAGTTTAATAAGTTCCAGTTTCTCAGCTTAGAAAAAACTCGGGTCGAACTAAATGCAAAAAAGTCACGTCTAATTAGGCATGGGTAACTCAATTAATTTTTAGGAGGTGGCGCAGTGCTACGCAAATGGCTTGGTGCGCCAATCCAACTCACCGGCGCAGCAACTCAGTTGCGTTGCTGCGAAAATGTTGAAGATTTTTTTGATATGTTTTTTGATTTATTTTAAGGGCCATCAATAATATTTTTACATTTCTTCAAAATTTTTGAATTTTGCGGATTTAAAAAAGTTTTTTAAGGTTACTCTATTTCTAAATGCTCAATTTTCTAAAGTTCACTTTAAAATTCCGACAATCTTGAGGTATTTTTAAATAAATTTTATTAAAATACTTGCCTCCTTCGTCCCATTGTAAAAAGTTTCGAAATCCCGTTCCAGCATCGAATTTGGGACAAAAATCAAATTATTTTCTATTAAAACACGAATAGAATCAGCGAAAGTTTATAATAAATTATTTGGAAAACTCGTCACCGCTATTCCTCTAAAGACTGTAGAGCTAG